AGGAGGTGAGTGTGGGTGGGAGCAAGGGTGACATGAGCTTTCTCCTGGGAGACTGGTGGCAAAGAGCAGGGTCCTGTCTCTTTTCACTGCAGTTGACTGGGGAGGGCAAGAAATGGGCTCCATGCAGCTCAGCACATGGGATATTGAGGAGAATTACTTTGGGGGTCTTCTGTGGGCTGGAGTTTCTACTTGGTGGGTAGGGAGGCATAAGGGCCAGGGGATGGAGAAGTGACTGGTGGGTGGGGGCAGGGTCTCATTCCCTCCAGGATATTTGGGGTTGCAAGATTAAAGAGGAGAACCACACCAGGGGCTTCTGGAATTTCCACTATGATGGGGAGCCCTTCCTCTCCTACCACCCAGAAACACGCAGCTGGAAAATAGAACCATCATCAGCTCAGACCTTGGCAATGTAAGTCAAGAATTCCTGGGATGCAGATGGCATTCAAAGCAAGGATTACCAGGCCCATGTGCAGGGAGAGCTTTGTGGAAGACTCAGGAGATATCAAGTCTCCTGGAAGGGCTCCTCTCTCTCTTCTGGAGCCTCTGCCCAGGGGAACTTGTGTGAGCTTTTGTGTGGTCAGTTGTGGTTTTCCTGTCCTGTTACATCACTAGACAGAGACAAGAGGTTGTATGTGCCCAGACACTAGTGAGCCCCACTTGCCTAAGTGCCTGCCAGCTTGCTAATATAGAGAGCTCCAACCTGGCTCCACAACCCTGGACCTCCCCAAAATGCCCTTCTGGACCTCAAAAACCAGGAGTCCCTGAAACAGCCTCTCCTCAACTTCAATATGTGGAAGCGAGAATGCGAAGCCACAAGCCCGAGGCCCATGCTCCTGCTAGTTAGAGGACTCAGGCCCCAGGCTGAGAACAGACTTTCCAGGGTCTGGGCTCAATGAGGACATTGACAATAGTCAGAAGAGTGGAGAAGACCAGCCCTGTTCCATCCCTTGGAGGGGAGCAACTTTGGTCACATGCCTGACTAACTTTGCCCTTTCTTCTCTAGTGTCCCAGCACTAAATGTGACCTGTGGTGAGGCCCCAGAAGACACCATCAACATGACATGTTGGGCTTTTGGCTTTTATCCCCAGAATATCTCTGTGACCTGGCTTCAGGATGGGGAACCACGGAGCCAGGGCACCCAGCAGTCTTGGGGTGTTTTTCCCTATGTGAATGGGACCTACCAGACCTGGGTGTCCATTAGGATTCCCCAAGGACAAGAGCAGAGGTTCTGCTGCTATGTGGGATACAGAGGGAACAACAGCACTGGCCTTGTGTTCTGTGGTGAGCCTGGGCATTCCTGCTGGAGTTTCCAACCAGGTGAGTCAGTGACCCTGGGTGGTGAGAGGGGAGAAGCCTTGAGACTGTGGTACCCAGAGTCAACAAGCCTGCTTTCAGGGACTGCACTGCTGCTGGAGAGCCAATGGCTACCTTTGTGGTGGTATCCACTGTTACTGCTGGGATTGTTTTCTTGAATTTCTTCCTGCAAGAAGAGGAGGACATCAGCTGCAGAGGGTTCAGGTGAGAAAATCATTCAGTGGCTGAAGATGGCAGGGCCAATCTGCTAGCAGCAGTGAAAACCCTGAGATCCCAAAATGACACTAATTATCACCAGTTCTCTGGTAGCAATTGGATTATGCTGGACATCTACAGTGTTAGAAGGATCAGTGTTTTCTTCTTACGAGAACATAGACAGTTGATTCATATTTGGATTTTCCCTTCCTATATGCAATATGTTTGGTAAAATGACAGTCTGTGGGCTTACAGAATGCCCACTTGGTGTTCTACACCATTGTTATGTATTAAGGAACTCAATTCACAGCCCCAAAATTGAGATGATGGTCCAATGTTCCTGAAGTCACACATCTTAACCATGCTCTCTACCATCCTGATGCAGTTGATTTGGAAGGAGGGTGGAAGGGCCTTTTGACTAAGTCATTACAGTGACAACCAGGTTGTACTGGGTTACAGGACTGGGGCAAGGTTCTTCACCCACCAGGTGAAGAAGTGTGACCAGCTGAGATGTTTGCTCAAGGCAAAGAGAGCACAGAGCAGGGAGCAGAGCAAATGAACTGTAACCATGTGACCAGCATGAAAACAAGGATTGTCATTTTTTTAATGTTTAATAGATTTATTCTTACCATAATATATCACAAAGAAGTCACCATTCTCACAATAGAAATAAAGAGCCCCCTGATTCCTGTGAATTTATCTGTATGTGTTCAAGTCCAGTAATGATTTCACTGTCTGTCTAAGTACTAAGTGCTTCAACCAAAGCTTGTCACCATGTCTCTGTATTTGGTATAATGATGTCATAAACTCTTGGGATCCTCTCCATTTCCTTAAAATACCTGAATTTAAGATGCCACAACCTCAGTAGTAGAGAACTTTCCTAGCACATGTGAGGCCCTTTTTTGATTCACAGCTTTGCCTCAAGAAACAAAAAGTTCCACTATTTGCCGGGTTTCGGTTAGCAACTAAAAGGCTCAGGTTAAATTGAGCTGACTGGGCTTCACAAAATAACCTCATAAGAGATGCAGATACCTTTTTCTTTGGGGTCACTGTGACTTGTCCTCTGACCTTAAGGGTCCGCAGGAAGAGAGAGAGCAAGAGCAGAGGAGAAACTATTCGAATTTGGCAATGGGTTAGGTTTCAGGGGGCTGAGTCTATCTTCATGATGTCCATGGTCAGCAGGTTGACTGACACCTGGGTAGGCCACACCCAAGGGCACAGTAAGAGAAGGGGATACACACAAGGCACTTCCATGGAAAATTCTATCCTAAACAGGGCAAGGGGTTATATTACAAAGGAACAGGTGAGCATAGCTTCACCTATGGGGCTGTAGCAAGACACACTCGTGCACGAGACACCGACCCTCGAACCCAAGAAGGGTGAGGAAATCTCTGCCACATTTCTGTGACTGAGCACCTCAGCACCCAGCCGGGGAGAGTGACTCACTCACGTGTAAGGTTGGTCTCCCACATATTCCCCCTTTCTTAATATATATAAAAAAAATGTAACTGGGAAATTTTATCTTTCAGTCACTTGACTCTTCGTCCAAATTCTTCACAATCTGCTAGTGAAACACAAAAAGAATTAGTAGAAAACATATCATCTTCATAACACAATCAACTTTGCCAAACACTCATCAGAAGATTTTTAATTTTTTTCCAATTTTATTGGGAGGCATTGTGTTTGCCATAGTAACAGATATTTTCACTGCCATGGCATTTAGGCCTCTCCATAAACCATAGAGCAAAGGGCTCACTCACATTATTTATTACATTGTCTTCTAGAGCATCATTACTTAGTTCTCATCCTTCCATCAGCACTTATCTGACCATGAAGAATTTTGGAAGAAATTTAAGTCAAACATTAAGAAAATCCATACATTGTAAGTTTTAAGATATAGCACAAAGGATGCAATTGAATAAGCAAGGAATAATATTTAAAGTAGTCACTTCAGGGATTATGAGAACAACTGCTTGCCTAGGTCTGGTTAATTGACATACACCTGTTTTAAAGCCTGAATATTAACTTCAGCATATTATAGCTCTGAAATATTAGCTGGCAATAACTAATGATACCTTAAGTWGTATTCTTACAGGCTACAGGGTATTTATCATTTTTTCTCTTCACTCTCACATTTAAGGAGTTAATTAGGTCTGTCACTAATATAAATAGTCTTGGAAAAATCTATTTTGATAATCTTTCCAACAATTGTCCATATAGGTAAATGTAGTCTTAATCACTAAAGTCCAGCATAATTGGCTGGCTTAGGGTTTTTTTATCTGTTGTCTAGCATAGGTTTCTATCACTGGTGTGGTCAATTTATTGCTCAGCTACTTTGGCTACCTCAGTCATGGGAGCTGGTGATAAACCTCAAGTTGGTGTCCAGTAGTTCAGTTTCTTTTTGGAATGCACACAACTGTTATAGGGTTTGAGTGGGGCATGCCCTTCAATCATACATAAGCAAGACAATATCCATAAGCCAATCATTTTCTGCCTAATGTAACCATACTGCGAGGAAACTCTAAATGCTGCTGTCATGGTGGAAAGCAATCTGGAAGGGTCTTTGTCCCTAAGGGAAGGGGCTTACTGAGTCTGTGTAGTTTGGCCTGGTAGTTTGGCAACGCTAACCACAAGTGCTGAGCATGTGGTTTCATTGATGGCTCATTAAAGCAGAGCACCCCACCCTACAGGTATTTCTGTCAGGCCTCAAGGAATGTGGATCCCTCAAGCACTCCAAGCTGTTCATAGCTGCTAGTTGCAACTGAAAGTTATTCCAACATTTCCTCCCCTTTCATTAARCTTGTTGCCAAAGGAGAACCCTGATGAGAGAACAGGGAAAAGGGAAAAGCATGGAAAAAACAGGGAAGAACCAAGAAAGAGAAAAGCATCCAGACATGGCCCATTCCTGTGGCTGCAGGTGTTTCCTGCTGTGGTGAGCAGGCAGTCACTGTTGACTAGGTCTCTGTCACTTGGGTTCTGATCTGAGCTGGGTGTGGGGTGCAAAGCAGCCATGGGGCAGGAGACTCTCTCAGAATTAGGCCTTTGCACCAGTGTGTGTGGGGGGTGAGATTCAGTGCCTTACCTCTGTTGGCCCCCAAGTTTTCTCCTGATGGCCCCTCTGCAACTGTGTCTGTCTTATGTTGTCCCTCATTGACAAATTAGCCATCCTCCAGGGAGAAACAGGGTGATGTGGAGTGTGCTTGGCATTGTCCCTGAGAGGGTTCTCTGTTTCTTGATAGATAATGTCCCCATGGCCTCCACACCAGCATTTATCTTGAGATCAGCAAACTCAGGTTTCTTCTCCATGGAGGGCCCAGCTCACAGCACTGGGCTGGTGAGGCTGCGTTCAGGAAGGAAGGAAAAAAGCCATAGACAGACAAACAGTAACATTGTGATAAAGCTGAGAGACACAGATAGATGAAGAGGAGAGCAGTGCCAAGACTCAGGGCATGATCCCTCATAGAGAACTGGCCTTTAGTTGGTGTTACTTACATCTGGTCCATAGCCACCATCCTTGTGGATGTGGAAGAGTCCACTATTTCAACACTGTCTTTTTCTCAAAAGATACTTCCAGACAGCCTGTTTACCATAAAATCAATATATAGGTATAACTGACCATTACAGTCAGGGACAATTAATCTAGTTTTATGGATGGACTTTCCAGTCCACACTGCAAGATACATTAAAGGTAGACCTGGAAAATGGGTCCATACAAGTCTTTTCATAATTTTTACTTTTCTGACAAGCTTGTGAAGCTGCATGGGCTATAAACTCTGTAGCTGGAAATTTACCTTCCTATGCCAGGTTTCTCACTCATTATAATGACTGGTTTAAACTCTCTTTTGATACCTGATTTAATTTACTGAATTGTGTTCAGTAACATTAAGACTCTCGGTATTACAAATTTAAGAAAAAATTTTAAAATATTTTTAAAATCTAGTGTGTTTCTGGGGTCCTGTATTCCCCTTTTCTTTATTTAATAAAGTTGAGTAAAAGCTTGGCATAAGTCATAGTATCATTAGTTTAAGTTATATATTATAGTACAAGTATTTAAATGATAAGAATAGATTTACCTTTTATTATTATAATTTTTCAATATAGACTAGTCGATCCATCCTAACAATTTAGAAAGAACCCTCAATCTCTTTTTGAGAGAAGGTCTCAAAATATCTCTATATTCTAGAATATTATCCTTTAAATAGGTATCTGTTAATTGCTTTTAAAAATATGATTAAGGTTATTTTTTAATGTAGGGAGTAGTACATAAATCTTATTGTATTTTTTATGGAAAACAGGTCCAGTCAGAGAACTTACATAATATCAATGCTATTTTAAAGTTTGTAACCTTTATTGCTCAAAAGTAACATACAACTTTAATTTGGGGAATCTCAGTTTTAATAAAATGTTCTCTCAAATCTCATAATTATCTAATAAAATATGTAAAGATTGTTGGGTGCCAATTGCAGGGTTTTGGTTAGCAACTAAAAGGCTCAGGGTTCATTCCAGTTGAACTGGGCTAACTGGGCTGCACAAAATAACCACACAAGAGACACAAATACCTTCTTCTTTGGAGTCCCTGTGATGGCTCCTCTGACATTAAGAGTCCAGAGAAAGAGAGAGAGAGCGAGAGCAAGGGCTGACCCCTTTTATTGAGGAGAAGCTATTCAAATGAGGCAAGGGGTAAGGTTTCAGGGGGCTGAGTCTATCTTCATGGTGTCCACTGTCAGCAGGTTGACTGACACCTGGGTAGGCCACACCCAAGGACACAGTTAGAGAAGGGGACACACCCAAGGCACTTCCATGGAAGAGTSTATCCTAAACAGGGCAAGGGGTTATATAACAAAGGAATAGGTGAGCATAGCTCCACCCATGGGGCTGTAGCAAGACACACCCATGCATGAGACACTGACTCTCGAACCCAAGAAGGGTGAGGAAATCTCTGCTACATTTCTGTGACTGAGCACTTCAGCACCCAACCTCAGTCACGTCTAAGGTTGGTCTCCCACAAGTATTTAATTTACTATATTCATCTAGCATATATGATGATGAGACCCAGAGTCTGTGGCATTTTGCGGATGATGTTGAATGAATGGCTTCAAATTATGAGGAATTTTCAGTGTTCTTCATAACAGCTGAGGCAAGGCCTTTAAGCCCAGTTGCTCTGTATCCTGGCAGAGATGAGGCGAGCCAGGAGGAAGTCCTATGGGGCATCCTGAACAGACAGCTTCCTTTTTTCAGAGATTGTATGGCAAGAATTTGAAGATGGCAAAGACACAAAAATTCAACTACAGCCTCCAAGGTAGACCTTTTGTTCTTTTTGAGTCTCATGTAAACAACATAAGATGCACAATCCAGAGCTCTCTGTGGTTTATACTGGGCAGTGATGGGCTGGTGAGCTCKGCTGTGATCAGATTAATTCTGTTTTTAGCAAAATTGTCATTCTGGTATTCTAGCTACAACATGCAAGGGCCTCTCCAGAAGGTCACAGACACCCCACTGCCACCCAGTCTTCATGCCCTTGTGTAACACAGGCCACCCCTGCTGCACCTGCACCTTGGCACAAGCCCACCTCACACTGCCACTCACTGCCCCAACTTCCCACACTTACTGTGCATGTGTTTTTCAATTTTGTTTTCAAATGTGTCTTTACTCCCATGTTTATCTATCAGGATCATCATCTATATTAAATATGCAATATTCAAGTCATTAGTTGTTGACATATTTTAATTAGGGCCTATGGAGATGATATGAACCTTTTGTTTTTATTCCAAGTTACACTTGCTTAAGTGGCCATTTATTGGTACCTACAGTTTTCCTCCTTGATATATGACACTAACACATAAAATTGTTCTTTGGTTTCCAGCAACTGCCAATTACTCTGAAGGACACTTCCCATGGACCACAACTGGAAAACTGAGGGGAAAAGCACATACTTGAAGGAAATGGTTGAAGGTGTGGACAGTCTAGGAAAGCCCTAAAGGTTTAAAAAGCCTGGATCCAGAAATCGAGAATTAGAAATGGAGCACATTGCACWTTTGTCCTAAGGTGTCTGCTGGCTGGGCCAGTGCCTGGGAGCCTCTCAGGGCAGGAGGGTGAAGTTAGAGTTAAAGGCTGCGAAGGGCACATAGGGGGCACCAGGGATCCCTTGTGTTGGGATGGGCCCAAAAAGCTGTCCCTTAAGAATCTGTCAGCCAGTTCTCCTGTGGGTTACAGCTCTACTTTAACAGGTGTAATTCAGGAAATCTGAAGAGCAAATTTATGGTAAGGTCTTATTTCCTAACAGTCTTATTAAGCATTATAATTTAGGACCTCCTCAATGCAGTCAAGGGAGAAAATAAATAAATATAGGAGGATTCGAACTGAGATACAGAAGTCTCATGAATTGCAAATGATACTATGTTGAATTTATAAAATCCCAAATCATTACAAATTCTTGGAATTAATAACATAGTTTCCCCTCTTAGGTGTTTTATACTCCACAAGCACCCAGAGTGTGAAAACTTACAGAGAAGTCATTGGCATAGTAAAAATACTCTTTTACAAACTTCTAGAATGAAACCTACAAGTTTTCCTCAATATAGCAATTGGAGTATTTTAAAAACCTTATTCGGCAATTAGAATAAACGATTTTTTTATTGTTGGTCGTTCAAAACATTACATAGTTCTTAATACATCATATTTCACTGTTTGATTCAAGTGGGTTATGAACTCCCAATTTTACCCCGTATACAGATTGCTGTATCACATCAGTT